CAGAGCGCGTTGTGTGTGACGTCTTCTTTTGCGCATGCGGGCGCTTTGAGCGTTCACACTAGAGCGCGTTTGCTGTCGCATTTTATTTGTAGTGTGAACGAGCAGACAAAAAAAATCGGATTTGATCAAAAAATCGGAATTGAGCATTAAGACCTGCAGAGTGAACGTAGCCTTAGACACCCCCAAAGAATCTCCCCCTGCTGGCCAGTAGAAAGAATGCAAGTTTAAAGCACTTCTGAACTGGCTTCACTTCAAGGCTACATCTTTTCTTAATATATAGCGTATCGGTGGCAGAAGCAAGTTTAGCTTTAGCATAACCCTAAATTAAGAGTTGCTCTTTGAATCATGTGGCTTTGTGTTCGTGCAGCTTGTTCAACAAACGACAGACACGTTACCTTTCCTTGTGCGATGATGTAGAAGGTGCTGCCCTCCTCTCCCTCTCGGATGACGTACTCGCCTTTGTCATAGTATTCCTAAAGGGAAGGAAGGGTGTGAGATCGGAGCAGGACAACCGTCAGAACTGAGACGCTGCATTGATTTAATCACTGGAGCAGCCGGTCTGATTCCTGGTAGCCGGGCCCTGCGGGCTGAGAGCAGCTGTCAGCGACGCTCCGTCACTCAGAGCCTCTCAGCCTGCTGTTCAGCAGGGATTTTCAGGGCTCATGGGGAAAATGAAAATTAAGTCAATAGAAAAATATTAATTATGATGTTTTTAATGTCTGTTAATGGGGGCTTGAGTACGGATGAATTTGACAGCCAATTTGTGTTTGACACGTTTTAAATGAACCTCAAATGAATGCTTGAAATGAGGTACGAATATGTCCAATTGATCCCTTTCCAAATAATAAAAAATATATATATTTGCCGATCACAATTTTCCGCAGAGAGGGTTTAAATTAACTTTTCAAAATGCCACAGATTTAGGTTTATGATTACACAGAGAACACAGAAACGTTTTGAAGTAAACTGGTTTAAAGTGATCATTTAGATATAATATGACGTGTAAATAATTATTATATTATATGATGTGAATAGATCTATATGTGGATGGAGCTTTAAGATAATAAACTGATACAAATACAAATCAGTCACTGACTAATCATTTGTTATAATAACTGAATTTACAAAACAGGCCCTCTAAACTCGGTGGCCGACAGGTGGACGCACACCTGCGCTCTCTGTGATCTAATACCGCGTTTCTACCACTTCGCCAGTTAATTAACAAGATTTGGAATTGGTGATGCAATATTGGCCCATGATGGATCGTGAGATGATCGATGGGTAGTGTCAGATGACTAGTGTAGACTCACAAGTCCCACACGGACATTTGTTTTGCCACTTGGCATCCACAGACGGAAATCATCTGCACTGGTGGACACACAGAGCCTGCTTAGAGTTCTATTGTGATACATTGTTGCTCGCTCTGCAGTGCAGATCGTGTCCTGTGTTGTCATAATACTACAAACATTACTCACAAAATTAGTCAGCCAATCAGAAACATCATATAATAAAAGCTGTTGTGTAGTTCAGTCATCAGCGACTTCACGCTCGACTTGTTTCAGAGTTGAACTTTAAGAGCGTCATAAAACCGAGCGACACCGAGGTACAGCACGTTCTGCCAGCTCTTTTCCAGAAACAGATTCCTCCGCTTCCTCCTGTCAGTCGCCGTTTCTCCGAAGCCAACATCTCCCAGCATCCCAACCGCAGCATTAAAACCAGACCGCTGAATCAGCGAGCGGGCAGATCGCCTTCCCTTTTAAAGCTTTTAGGTGAAGAAAGGGAAGCGCGATGAATGAAGGTGACCGGGATGAAATGTTGCCCGGGACAGAGGCCAAGTTCCTGCAGCTGAGACAACCGTCCGCGGCTATAATCCGTTTGACTATAGAGGACCAGAAGTGAGCTAACAAATCAGAGCAACCACGCGTAAACATTCCCGGGTGTTTACTGTCAAAACTCTTGACACAAGTGGCATTTTCCTTGAGCGTCCGAGACTGTTTACGCCCCGTTTACGCTTCAGGAGAGCCTAGTTTAACACCCGTCAGTGACAGCGGAGACAACATGCCAGGGCTTTGTTTAGAAGACTGTCTGGATGAAGCTGTAGAGGTGCAGATGAGCGACGGCGTTCGACCTGTGTCTCAGGTTTGTTATACCAGACAACTAAGCTTGTCAAACTTAAACGCACGCCTCTTTATTAAAAGTCCTCCAACCTCCAACAATTAAATCGCCTTCTGTCCTACTTCACACTAACTTCTGGTTTGGTCAGTGGCAGACAGCCACTTGTGCTCAGCTGTGTTTGAGTTCAGTTTCCAGTCAGTCGATGAGGAACAGCAAACACTCCAACTGCATGTGTCTCCATGCTTGAAGTTGCAGATCCACTGTGGCGGGGATCACTCTAGTCTTTAGCAGCCCCCACGTGGACAGGCTTCCCAGTGCAGCCCCCTGAACGCATCGTGCTGATTTCAAAGAACTGTTGAAACAGTGATGATATGCACACTCGTGCATGATTTATAAAGTGGTCACGACAGTGACGGAAGGAGATGTTTTTGGTCTTTCCCACAGACTGACACTGTATTTGTGGGGCATGGAAGAAGGGGCACCCATGCCTTTTGAAATAAATTATAAAATAACACCATATATACTCAAGTTAACTAATAAATGAGGATTTTGCTGCCTCTCCACCATTCCAGACTGCAATCAGAGCTATAGATGGCGGCCTACCCCCTGCACTCCAAGCATAACCGAAATCATTTTATGTTTCCATGGTGAACATAATTAAATCATACATGATCTGCAAAAATTCAACAACTTGACACTTGTTAAATTTATTCTTGTCGAGATGAAGTGATGCAATCAAGAGCGGTTAACTGTCTGGACCTGCGATATCACAAGATCACGCAAGATTTCAAACCACAGGAAAATCACTGGAGTTATAAGAAGCAGAAAAGCAAACGCACATCACGTGTTCGTGGTTTAACCTGTCAAGGACAAAAACTTAGAAAATTCTGCATCAAGCCTTGTAATCATAGCTTTCCTACTTTTTTTACTGTGTGGCGTGACAGCTCGGCAGTGGCGTTTCACCAGTGCTAACAGCAAGAATCCACCAACTAGCCATGGGACCATGGGCTCTCTCTGGGTACGCCCCACTCCAAAGACATGCAGTTAGTAGGGTTAGGTTAACTGGTGATTCTAAATTGCCCAGAGATGTGAATTGAGTGCAAATGTTGTCTGTCTCTGTGTGTTAGCCCTGCGATACACTGGCGACCCTGATAACAATAAGCGAAAGAGAACAGTGTTGCCAACTCCTCAGTAAGGAAAATCGCTATTGGCTGTCCTAAAAGTCGCTAGAAGTCGCTAAATGACGTCTTCGCCTAATTTGCATAATTGGTCATGCTAATGTAATTGTAACCTACGTTATTGGAGAGAGAAATAACATCGTGGAAGAGACATAGCGTGAGTAAAAAACGAATTTAGAATTTATTTAGAACTACAAATTAAATTTCTTTTAACAATTATTGTTTTTTAATGTCACAATTCCAACCCTGCTCCTTTACCCGGGCCTGGACCGGCAAAAGTGACCCGAGATTGGCACTCTGGTGGAGTTACTGTGTGTGTTTTTATAAGTAGTTTTAAACCTTGTGATCCACAAAACAGCATAACAGTAAAAGAAGAACTGACTGCGTTACAGTCAGTGCGGAGCAGCGGCTTTGCTCATAAGCGATTCATTTGCAGTTTGGAAGCATGGGTGAACATCTCCCGCCCTGACAGCAGCTGGGGGAGGACTATCCTCCGCCCGTGAGCGCTTTGGCACGGGTGAGGTGCCCACGGCAGCACCGCTGCTTGTTGAGAGTAAAAGCGATACGCGCTTTCACGTCAAAAAGTCGTCATAAATAAGTCTCCAGCAACACCAGAAAAAGTCGCCAGATTTGTCGCTAGTCGCTTTTTAGAAAAAAAGTCGCTAAGGGGGTCTGAAAACTCGCTAAATATAGAGACAAAGTCGCTAAGTTGGCAACACTGAAAGAGAATGGATGGATGGAGGGACGGATATACCAAAGCTGTTATAAATCCATTAAAGTTTCATGTTAACACTCCAAAGAATAACTCTTTAAATGAACTTAGAACAATCATGGAAAGGATTTCCACAATAATAAATGGCTTTCTATTAGCATTAAGTACTTTTGTTGGACTAATGTCATTTACATGGGTTGAATCAACTTAATTAAATTAACTTGGACTCAACTGCAGTAAATAAATTGAATCATCATTGATTAATTAAGCTGCTCCAACTCAGCTACATTAAGTTGAAATAACAGAATTGTGTAATGCTAAAATTAAAGCACTTTAATCACTTGGAAATCCTTTCCATGGTTTTTTTCGAGTGTGTTTTCATCTGCTCTGCATCCTTGGTGAGCTGAGTGTCAGGCCACCTGCTGTGGGATCTGGTTAGTTTGTCCCGTCAGCTCACGCTGGAGCTTAAATTTTAAGCATCTGAATCTGAGCTTGTTAGCCGAGCTGGGCTTCAGCATTCAGGCTCCGACTCCAGGCTGCAACTTTCAGTGTTGGCTTGTCAATCTACGTGATGACATGACAAAATGTTGCATGCCAGGCGCACAAGTGAATGAAAGGATACATTCTTTTCGTTGCTGTTTTATGTTTTTACTTTCAACAGACCCACTTTTTTTTGGTCACTGAATCTTTCCAGTTCAAATTCCAACCAGCTGATCATACTGAAAATCATCAGAGAGACCTAAAAACAACTACTCCCTTCACACACTCACATGCGAAACACACCAAATTCCATTCCCCCACTGTTTGACAAGACGCTTCAATACTATCTGGCAGATTCTCACTGAACATCTGCACCGCTATTAGGTTACAGCTGCCCCCCTGAGAGCCAACAGAATCAGCTCCGTTAGAAATGACTGAATAAGGAGATTCTCGCAGCAGGACGAGCGACGACTGCAAAGATCGTCCTTGAAGTTTTTATTGTGAAAAGAAGCTGAGAAAGCGATGCGGAAATGCAATGCTTACGGAGAAAAAACGGACTATGCACGGGTCTCCTGCACGCTTCGGCTTCCACAGTTATACACACTTGCATGGTCTCACACCAAAAGCCTGTCACTCGCACATCTTTAAGAAATCACTCGTCCCCCATTTGAATAAACAGTTTCTGGGGCCTTAGTCAAATAATTATGGTAACAATATACAGCACCCAGCGATGACAGCAATAATATCGGCTCTGTTCATCAACAAGGTAATTTGTGAGGTCTTGCAACTGGCGGCAGAACGAATATGCTGACATGCAGTAATGGTATATGGCCAAATGGTAATGATATTTTGACAGCAGCTATCTGCAAAGCCGGGACTCCCACGAGCTGCCAGAAGGTTGTGCAATACTGAGGCAATACAATGAAAAGTCAGGAGAAATAAAGATAATTTGACAGAATAACTTACCACCTCCAGGCAGTCCACTATTTTGCTTAGCTTGTCGTCTGGCAGATTAGCCAAAAGTGAAACACTGACGCAAAAGAAAAAGAAAAAACAGGCATTACATTGTTAAAACAAATCACTACATGTTATTATGCAGAACCTGGTTTCCTGTGTCACAAGACACCAGAGTTTCAGACAGTGCAACAAATCGATCATTTGTTTAATGTCTCGTGGTATTGACTTAGATCCTGCGACCCAGTTTTGATGATAAAATACACTTGCAGACATTTTATCATGACCTGAAGCAAACCTTCCTGTCTTACCCACAAACTAAAGTCTCATTTAGCTCACTGACCCACAAACCGTCTTTGGTAGGGATGCACCGATACCGGTAT